TGTAAGTAAATTTTATACATAATTTTGATGACATTTGAATATTGGATTCTTGAGATATTAAGAAAATAGAGCTCATATACTTGTAAATTAGGATTTAGAGCATCTGCTAGGGTTATTTAGATGCCAGAAGATCGGAAGTGAACTTGTGGTTGTTTTTTTTTTTTGATAAAATTTAAGGGTGAATTCTATCTATTTTATAATTTGAGACAAATTAAACGGCTAGATCAAGAGTTATGAATTTCTAAAGTTTGGAAAAAAAAAATCCTTTGCGGGATAAATATGTTTTGAAGGGATTTTGCTATATTTTGAGTTTTATGCAAAATAAAGGAGATTTGGAAGCTAAGACAAGATTCATATAAAGATTTAAGCTACACTGTCTATAGCTAGATACCCAGTGTATTTCCAAATAGCAAATCACGCCATATGACAATGTATTGAAAGACCGTCGGAGCATTGATAAGATCGAAAGGCATGACATTATATTCAAAATGGCCATATCTTGTATAGAAAGTTGTCTTCCATTCGTCTCCTTCCTTGATTTGCACGAGGTTATAAGCTCTCTTTAGATCAAACTTTGTAAAGATCTTTGCACGCCCAAGTTGCTCTAGAAGTCTTGATATCAAAGGTATTGGATAACGATTCTTTTTTGTCACCTTATTGAGACCTCGATAATCCATGCACATCCATAGTGAGCCATCTTTCTTCTTTACAAATAAGATTGGTGCTCTAGCTTACAACTTCAAATGACGAATGAGATTCTTGGCTAGATTTTTGTCAATATACTTTTGCAATTCTACTAACTCCATCTGCGACAAATTGTAGATTGGGCCAAAAGGTGGTTGTGCTCCTTCTTACAAGTCTATGGCACAATCATATGGTCGATGCTCCAGTAGCATATCAGTATTTTTCTTTTGAAACACATCTTCAAAATCCTTATATTACTCTAGTATATTTCCTATCAAAATCTTCTCTTTGCTAGTTGGAGTTGCATAAATGACAAATGGTGTACCTTCCTTGGACAATGTTACAAACGCTCTTGCTCCAATAAATAAGGGTTTTTTGATTCGGGATCTTCTAATAGGCTTACTTTTGGAATATTCTATAAGAAATGTCATCCTTCGTAACCTCCAATCTATGGATGGGTTATGTATTTCTAACAAAAAAAGACTAAGAATAACAAGGTTTGACGGGATTGTAATAATATTTAAAATAATATAACTACTATGGTCTTTAAACGTCACCTCTATAGGTTTTGATTCATGGATGATACTACCAGACAATAGAGATCATCCATCTATTACTTCTACGTGAACGGATTTAGATTTTCATATTAGAAGAATCTTGTGACGCTTAGTAAATTCTTCATCTAAAAAACAAACAGATGCTTTTGAATCTAATAATACTAAGGTTTTTAGTTTTTAAGGGCCAAAAGATAGAGGAATGGTAAAACAATGGGCAGGCTGAGCAAAAAGAGAAGAACTTGATTATTGTTGTGGTATTGAATTATCTAGCCGTATGATCCCTATTGTGGCTGGACATCCTCATTTTCAAGAATAAACGAGCCTCTGGTCCTAAGAATGTGTCGATTTTGTTACTTTGGAACAATTTTCAGCTCTGTGGCCTTCTTTATTGCAATACAAGCATAGTCCTTCCTCTATATGCCACTTTTTTTCTTCTAGAGTTAGGGATTTGACATGTACCACATCAATTTGCATGTCTTTCACCTCTGAATGTGAATTCAGGTTGCTTGCTAATATAATTGGAGCGTGGTGAGCCGTATGTTGTCTTCAGCGTTGGTCTTGACGACGTTGGAACAGGCGATTATCGCACTTCAAAGCTTGGCTAATGGCTTTGTTGAGCATTCACGAATTGAAAAGAGATAATAACAAATCCTTTACGTCATCTTTCAAGCACCAATAAAATTGACTTATCAATAATCCCTCATCCCAGTTGATGTTGCACGCCAATTATTTGAAATCTGATGTATAAACTAACGTGGAGCGTGTTCCTAGTCGTAGTGATCGGATCTTTATTGTAGCCCATCGTGCCTTGTCATGTTTGCCAAATACTTCTGTAAACCCCTCCAAAAAAGTTCAAAGTTGTTCAAAATTGACGATCCTTTCTCAAACAAAAGAGTAAACTATGATAGAGCTTGCCTCATGAGCAAAGTTCCAACTAGTCCAACACATGACTCCTCTGTCGGATAGCATATGGATTGTAAAGCTATTATCAATCTAATTTATTTGAAAAAACCTTGAAACTTAGAATGCATACCATCAAACTTGCTTGAAAGGCTATTTCGGAGCTCCTTTCATTGTAAGACCAACAATCTTTGTTGAACTAGAAGCAAAGCTGCTTCTCTAAGTACTGAAGCTTGAAGCTCGTGAATCCTTGATTGTGCCATCCCAGATGCTCTATCATTATGAAGTCTTGCAATGATTCCTTCAATCTCTCAAATTCTCTTTAATAACATAGTAAGAACATTCATAATAGCATTCAACTTGGACCCCGAACTTTCAGTCATATTAATATCTTGACCTTCAGCCATTCTAATAGAATGAAAGAAATGACTCTATAAGAAGGCACTATTGGTTTAGAGGAAGATACTCCGTAATCTCTAAAATAACTTAAAACCTTCAAAAAGAGGGATAATCCACTCTCTCCAAGAAAGATAAGATTCCAATATTATAATAGAAGAAATATCAATTTAAAAGAGGGTAATCCGCAACCTCTAAAATGCCAACACCTTCAAGCAAAGGAATAATCCACACTCTAACAAGAAGAAACTCGCTCTGATATGAAAAATAAGTATAGTCTTGACAAATTGTCACCAATTTAGAATACTGACCAGAAATCTAAATAAGAAGCTCAAGAAGAATCGGTAAGAATTAGATTAATCAAATGAGTACAAGAATAATACTAGAGAGGTGAGCTAGAGCTCTAAGAGGTGTATTGTTAAGACTGAGGATCCCCTCAGTCTCGGCTCCTATAAATACAACAAGCTAGGAAGCTTCTCAAGTAGCTTCCACGAGATTAAAAACTTCTCAAGTAGCTTCTACAAATTACAAAGCTTCTCTAGAACCTTCTAGAATCTTCTACAACTTCCTAGTATATATCCTTGATACTAGTATGAGGCTTATTGAGAGGTATGAAAACAAGACATGATTTGATGAAGGCAAGGAATAGAGATCTTCATTCCTATTTGTCGAAGGCCATGCCCAATGAGCTTCAAGGAGGTTGCCCGAGGCCTTATCAGAGATTAGGGTTTCTCTTTTAAGGTCATTTGAGCTTTGCAGGCTTAGATCAACAAGTTTAGGATTTTGGATACAAAATGGGTGCAAAGTTTTTGTCATTTGGAGATTTTATGAAGGAATTTTTGGCGCTAAAAGTTAAGGTATCAATTTCATACCTACAATCACATTTTTAGGCAAAAAATATATTTGCACACATATAAAAAAAAATCATTGCACATATTAGGGCCTAGCTATAGTAATATATCACATGTATTATTATAAGAACTACTTTGCAATACTCAATCTTTATTTTTTTGCAAAATTAAGGCAAAAACCTCTTTTGGTCATAAACATATTAAAGATAGGATATGAGTGTCACGAACATAAGCATGTAAGCCAATAATTACATGTATAAAAAGGTAAAAATTTTAAAAGTAGATAAAATTATATTTCCTATAAAAACTTCCTTGAAGCTTCATAGATAGTGCTTTGACTTTAAAGGTGTCTTTAATTGAATTTTTGGTTTAGAAACGACGTCAAAAAGTTGGCCATGTGCCACACATAGTATTAGCTTGAAGACCAAACTAACTATGTGGCCCATACATAAAAAAACTTACCTTGTCAATCAAGGCATGTATCCTACAAAGTCAACACATTTAGAAGGTCCTATAAAACATCGCCATATAGCCCCTAGTTAGATAGTATACATAGAGACAGGAGTGAAGCCCCCTTCACTATTGTCAACTCCTTTCTTACTTCTAGTCTAGTTTCAAAGACCTCTAGTTTTCTTGACTTTTGGCAATAGCTATTACAGTTTCTTTCTTAATATACATATTGAGTTATTTCTATTTTGTCACCTTTCTTTGAGAGAAGTCTAACTTATTCATTTGTCTTTATCAAGTTCATGCCCTTAACAATGACATGTCTTAGGGAATTAAATACTATGTGCTAAAACGATCAATGGATACAAAGCAAAATAAATCATGTACACCAATAAACACAAATATAAGAATAACACTAATAGTTCAACTACAAAATACAAAGGAGCAACTCAAATATGAGCCAAAAAAAATATCATATTTAAGAATTATAGAAATACCACAATACTCGGTCAAAAATATTGCAAAATAAGTAAAGTGGTACTAGACATTAGAACCCTTGAGAACAGTGGTACTTGCCTAGATGCCATGAGATTCTAATTTTTTTAAAATGAACAAACTCATTTATAAGATGAATGTTTATTCTTGGTCACAAATTCTTAGTTTTTTTATCTCGTACTTACTTTTAGTCCTTGAAGCTCAAATAACAAATAATATAAAGTCCTCTTGTATCATCAAATAGCTTCAATGTGTTGATCACTAATCCATCATATCTTGATGGAATCTTTTATGCTTGTAGAAGCATATCGATTCCAAAGTATACCATGTATTAGGCCAAACACTCATTAACCTTAATGCTTGGATATTGTTTAAATTCTTTCTTCTTTGATTGTTGATCTTGAACTATTTTGCCTCCTACTTTTTTCTTTGTTTGTTCATTCTTTTTGTCTTATGAAACTTCTCAACTATTTTTATTTCTCTAGTTCAAACTACATGTCTATCAAATTTGTTATACTAATGAGTATTGTGGTGGTGTTATAAAACCAATGCAACTTCAACTTTTTGAATTTGAACAAGATTGGATTTGGTTTGGAATTCTCCAGAATAACCAATCACGGAGTATTACTTTGAAGCAAATACTACACACAGTGCAACCCAAACCAACAAGTTCTCAAAAAGTGAACTAGTTACTTTTGCAAGTTACCAATTTGTTTATTTTTGTTCTTTGAGGAACCAAATAAAGTGATCTCTGCATCAAATGCTTTTTAACTAAAACCACACTTCGGGTGGGGCAAAATGTCGCCACACATTCAACTTGCAAAATGCTCATAAATTGTGCCTCATATCAACAAGAATCGCACAGTTCCTACAATTTCTCAAACCATGTGACTAAGCATGGCTGCAGATTACGTAAATAATTCCTGCCCTCCTTCGAAAGGCAACTCAGAACACTTCAAGTCCTTTCACCCCTCCAACATGATCCCTGCCTTGGACATTTGTGCCCGCTCCAACGTCTCAGCAACTTGCAACTGTCCATGCGACCTCCTCTGTCGCCGTCGCCGCTGCAGAACCCCTGGTGGACGGAGGCGGTAGCGCGCTGATCCAACTGACCAAATTTCATCGAAAGTCCATTTGCTGCAGACCTGAATGTAAAACCCTCTGGTGCCACAACCTGGATGCTCTCTGACCCATGAATCATCATAATTCGCTCACTCATACGATCTCCACTCCAGCGCGCAAAAGGAAAACCAGGGAGACGATATTGATTTGCCCGTGCCCGTTGCTACAACTCAAACGGTGGCCGCGGCCCGGAGGACCAGCACTTCCAGGGTGAGCCCCGGACCGAATCCAATGAAGAAGCCAAACTCGCTGCCCTCTCCCAGCGTCGACGCCCCCATCTTGACCGACCTCTGGCGAATCTGATCCAGCACGAACAACACCGACGCCGACGACATGTTGCCGTACTCCGACAGTATGTCCCTGCTCCCCTGCATCTTGTCCTTGGTCAGCTTCAGCTTCGCCTCCACCTGGTCCAGAATGGCCGGGCCTCCCGGGTGCACCGCCCAGAACATCTCGTTCCAATCGGGCGAACCGACGCACTTCCTGGCCTCGTTCAAGAACTTCTCGATGTTCTTGGAGATCAGCCCTGGCACGTCCTTCATGAGGTGGAAGATGAGCCCCGCCTCCGTCAGATGCCCATCAATGGCTCCATCACTCTCTGGCAAGATCGTCTCGCCCGCCCAGTGCACCTCGAACAGTGCTTTCTCCACCTCCGGCTTGGGATCGGATCCCACCACGTACACTCCGGCGCCATCGCCGAACAGGGCCGAGCCCACCAAGCCGTCCAAGTGGTTCTCGCTGGGTGCGCGGTATGTGACGGCCGTGACCTCGCTGGCCACCGCCAACACCCTGGCGCCCTTGTTGTTCTCCGCCAGATCCTTGGCCACCCTGAGCACGGAAGCACCGCCAAAGCACCCGGTCTGGTACATCATGACCCGCTTCACCGTGGGCTTCAGGCCCAGCAGCTTGGCCAGGGCGTGGTCGGCTCCGGGCATGTTCACGCCGCTGGTGGTGGCGAACACGATGTGGGTGATGTCAGACTTGCGGCCGCCCCACTCCTTGATGGCCCTCTGGGCTGCCTCCGCGGCGAGCTTGGGGACCTGGACGACGACGATGTCGTGGCGGACGTTCAGGGAGGGCTCCATGTACGTGCAGATGCCGGGGTTAGCCTTGAGCACCTCCTCCGTGAGGAACATGTGGCGCTTGCGGATCCCCGACTTGTCACCTGCATCGACATTCATGGCCAAGCGTCAGCTGCCGTCGTAAGGGGCCGGAATCGACCCAATTTCAGGAACATCGCGACCGCCGCATTCCCATCTCGACGCCCGCAACAAATCACAAGTCGCAATTCTAATGCGCTCGCGCCGCGCAGCCCGTGCAATGAGCACGTCGTCGAGCGCGGCTGGGGGTGAGGGCCGGCCCACAGGGAACAGTGAGCACATCACGAGCCGCGAAGAGAGTCACACGGTGGAGGTGGACTTACAGATGCGCTTGAATTTGGCCTTCAGGGCGTCCTTCTCGCCGCAGTTGGTGATGTTGAAGAAGAAGTCGGGGTACTCGCTCTGCAGGAACTCCGCGGGAGGCACCGCAGTGCCGACGCCCAACACACATGCTGGTCCCTCAGCGCGAGGCTGGCCTCTGGGAAGCGCGCTCCTTGTGGCAGCACCCTGAACGTCGACTTCTCCGCTTGGTGCCATGGGCACGTTTGGGTTCGGAATGGATGTTGAGTCCGAGCTGCTCACTCGGGGTTGTCTCGAAGCGGCCGGACAATGAGCGTTCAATTTGTTCCGGTGAACTGGCCCTGCAGCCACTGCCTAGGATCTCTTAACCTGCCAAAATCAGGGGGCTTATATGCAACGCACAATGTGCCGGCGAGAAGGTGGCCCGAGTTGAGCAGACGTCTCGCTCTGAATCTGTTAGCTCACAAGTTTGTTGCTCTATCTGCTACACTTCCTGAATGCGTTGAGTGCACAGAGAAGTTCTCTGTTGTGCAGCTTCATTCAGCATCGCTTTCTAGATGAGGGGAGTGTGCAGAGTGAATGTGGTGGCCCACAAGCCAGGGAAGAGCGTTGAATGATGTAGGACTTCGACAGGAACAGTGCAGTCTTGGCGACTTTTTTCTTGCGGCTTTTGTTCCTTTTCCAGGCGCCTGTTGGTTTCTTTCAACGTTGACAGCCTTTTGAGATGACCTGGAGTTTACTTCGGCTGCTGGCTTGTTCGGACCATCCGCATGAAGCTTCGAAGACGTCACAATCCACTTTCAAAATCCTAGGGAACTATGACAATTGGTCCGTATGGTTGTCAACGAACAGCTGCAGACTTTAGATTCTTCACTTCAAATATAAATCGTAAGGGAATCGTCCGGTGGGTTTGCCATTATTAGCTCATGCTGGAACATGTTTCCGTCTGAGTGGAAATGCAGCATTTTCCTATTTGTGAACCAATACTGTATGGCCATATGATGACGGGGGTGTCTATAGCCATGACACATGTGCTTTGCCAATTTTACTTTGGCTGCTTGGTTGTTCTGACCATCCGCTTATTCCTTAAGCATGAAGCTTCTAATTCGTCACAATCCTCTTTCAAAATCCTAGGGACTATGAGAGTTGGTAGAAAAGTGGTGAAGTGTCATGGATATTCACATTTATTCCAATAATTATTTATATGTTTCGATAGAAGTTGGTAAATTTGGATTATTATCTTTTAAAAGTGTATCTTTTAAGAAAACTTCTTAAAAGTTCAATTGAAACCAATTTGTTTATACATGTATTTGTAGTTGATTTGTAGGTTAGAAATTTCATCAATAATTTAAGTATGTACAACACATGTTGGTAGCTTTTTGAATAATTTAAGTATGCTCCACTTTTATATAAATCTTGTTTTGCAAGTTAAGACATGTATCTACCAAATTCAACATATGTTGGAGATCTTATAGAATATTGCCACGTAGCTCCTAGTTAGATAATATATATGGAAGCAAATGTAAAACCTACTTCATTCTTGTCAATGCCTTTTTAATCTTTAGACTTGTTTCAAGACTTTTTAGTATTTTTGGCTTTAGGAAGTGCTAATATAATTCAATATATTTACACTTTTGAGTGATTTCTAAGCCTTTTTAAATGACACATATATGTATTGTAGTTTTTTTCTTCAAGATTCTTATCCTTGATAATTTGACTACAATATTGATTTATTATTATTGTTTTGTTTTAGAAGTGAATGAATTATCTCACTTCTATTGTTGTAATTTAAAATTTGTGGTCTATCCACCTTTAAATAAATAATTAAAAAATATTAACAATGATTTTTTTCTAAAAGAGAGTGGATTATTTCTTGTTGTAAAATTTTTTATTTAATATTTTAGATTTCAAATTATTTTCATCTTATTTAGTTTTTAGAATTTATTTGAGTTGGTTATTGAAAAAAGAAAAAAGAAACAAAAAACAAAAATTAAATACTACTTTTATTGGAAGTAAAAATAGATATCCAACTATTAGAAATCTTTACAAGCTTGTGAACATTCTAAGAGTAGAAATCTTACATATTTCTAACATGAATCATGGAGATACTATTCCTACATATATGGAAGAAGTTCAAAATCTATGCCGTAAAGTTGTGCAATTGAAAGAAGCAAGTAGATCAAAATCACAACCAGTTTTAAAAAGTCTTATTTCTACAAGTACAAGAAGTAAGGATTAGTATGCCAGAGGAGTTTGATGGAATAAGATTAAAATTTTAAAGATTTTTACAAAAAATTAAGTTCTATTTAAGATTGCATCTTTTCCAATACCTCAATAGATTTACTCAAGTTAGATTTATAGGCGCACTTCTATCAAAAAGTATTCTTTCTTGATTTGTACCTTTGATGGAAAAAAATTTAGAATTACTTTATGATTTGAATCCTTTTTTGGAAGTATTTATGGCTGTATTTGTAAAAAATTATAAAAAATGGATAGTAGAAATCAAGCTTGAATCCGTACAATAATGATTTATTTAACTACCACATATGTTCCTGAATTCCAAAATCTTATTTGCAACATGGATTGGAATAATAAAGCTATTATCAATCAATTTTGATATAGATTAAAAGATAATATTAAAGATTTATTGATGATAATATTAAAAGTAATTTTTTTGAAGCACCTTATTGTTCAAGCCATCGTGTGCAATAATCAACTCATTAAAAGATAGAAAGAATAAAGATTTAATTAAAAAAATACAAGTTAAGCAATAGTAATATCTTCTAAGTTTTTAGAAGCTTATTTGTTTAAGTAAAAGCTTATGCAAATTAATACGATACATTTTAAACCTCTTATTGAGCAAAAAAGAATTTATTATTGTTAAGAAGGTTTGTATTTAATTTCTAAAGAGTCCAAGCACATTACTCAATATTATCCAAAGAAATAACAAAATCTCAAAATAAAGAGCATGGTTGCCAAAGATGACAATGTGTTTGAAAATGAGTTTTTCCAACTACAATAAGGACTATGCAGCTAAAATCCTGCATGATCTCTAGTAAAGGTCATATTCTTTCCTCAAATCCCTCATCTGTTTTTACAAAATAAGTTTTTTTAACATCAAAAAATCACAATGTCTTAGCATTGTTAGATTTAGGAGCCTCAACTTATTTTATAGATGAAGACTTTGTCAAAATATAAGATATATTCTTAGTTAAGAAAACCAAATCTATGCATATAAAAGTAATAGATGGTCGTTTTTTGTCTTTTGAAGATGTTATACATAAAATTATTCTTTTAGATATAGCATCTAATAGTCATTATAGTTTAATAATATTTAATATGATTAAATCTTCTTCTAATCAAATTATTTTAAAATAATTATGGCTAAAAAAACTATAATTCTTAAATAAATTAGATTTCTATTATCATAAGGCGTGATTTATAATCTAAAAATATACTAGATACTTGGTTGTAGAGAGTTTAGCTTTAATTTATTGGCCAAGCTTCAATAAAAGATTTATTTTTAATATAAAAAATAAATAAATGCAACAATATCAAAAGATATTTTATTAGTAAAAATCTTTTATATTTAAGAAGATTTATACATAAGACTTTTTATAGCATCTAGAAATTTCATAACATCCTTTGTTATATCAAATCATAACTAATCATTTGCTAGTAAGTTAGATTTTTAATAATCTCAAGGAAAATCCACAATTTCCTTTCAAAAACTCATCTTTATATTATAATATTATCATAGCTCCATATCTCCATCTTTAACATATATTTAAAGACTTGACTCCCAAAACACCCCTTTATTTTGTATAAAATGCTCAAATTGTGGCAAAGTCCTTTCAAAATATTTTTTTTTTTGAAAAGAATTTTTTTACTAAAATTAAGGATTTTATATTTCTTGATCCATTTATTGAAATTTTTTCAAAATTCTAAATAATTTAGAATTTATCCTTAAGCTTTACCACAAAAAAAAAATTATAAATTTACTATAGATTGTTTGGCATCTTAGAACTCCTAGTAGGTACTCTAAATTCTAATTTATAAGTATTCAAGAACTATTTTCATTATATTTCCAAATCCAAAATCGAAATACCAAAAAATTTGGTATATAACTTGAAAAAATAATAATACAAATTTGTAGAAAATTTTAGACAAAGATTTGTTTAAATGCCCAAGATATAGTTAGAACCAAACCTCTCATGAAATTGATTCTCCAACAAAACTCAATTTGAAAGTATTGTATTCAAGTAGTCACTGCTTCTTTAAATCCACTTTAAACCTCTTACTTTTTATATGTAGAATATAGTTCTTTAATCAAAATTTCCAATAACTTAATTTGATCTTCAAAAGCCCTTCATATGCATGAGCTATGCTCCAAAGAATGACAAGAGGAATGATATCAGCACCTTCATTTTGAGCGCATATATCATCTTCTCAAAAACTCCAAATTATACAAAACTTTCACCAAAACTATATCTAAAATTCTAAAAATAATGATTTTAAGCTTTGATGTTCAAATGTCTTCAAAAGAATAAGCCTAATTCTCAAAATTGTCTCAAGCAACCTCCTTGAAGTCCATTGGACATGACTTTTAGCCAATAGGAATAGAAATTTTTATCATCCATCTCCATTCATCTATATAGATGGCTTAACTATCATTTTTTATATACAAATTCTTTTGTAATTCATTTTCTAATAAGTTTTATATAATATGTATTCTAAATATCAAATAAATAAAATAAAATAAGATTTCAAGAATCACCAATGTATAATAAAGCTGATCCTAAATATAAAAAAATTATTATCAACATAAAATCAACCTTAACAATAGCTCTTTAGATTAACTACTTCAAAGTAGTAATCTAACCATATTTTGTAACTAACTAAAATCTAATAATGTGACTCTTCCTACATTGTATAATAAATTGTATATTAAATATATATATATATATATATATATATATATATATACATTATTTTCATACCAAAGCAAAGCCACAATACAACATCATAACCTTGATTTTTTTCATAGTTTAGTCTAAGATTTTTTTAGGCTAGTAAAAATCCATAAGATTGATATTTCCAAACTATAATTGATAGGTGTGGGAACTTTCTTGTATGCTGAAAATAAAGGATTTCCTTTTGTTATATATGCTATACCTATTGATGATGGAGAAAAGATTTCAAGTGGCATTCCAATATAATATCAAGGTTATCAAGATGTTTTTTAAAAACTAAAATGTAGATATTCTTTTAAAGCATTATTTTTATGATTGTTCCATCAATCATAAAAGAAGAACTCAACTACCATTCACACCAATCTATAGCCTATCACAAAATGAGTTAGTTTCATTTAAAGAGAACATTAATAAGAATTTGGCTAAGAACTTCATATTCTATTTTGAATTTTCAACTATGGCTCCTATCTTATTTGTAAAGAAAAAAGACAAATCTCTGCAAATAAATGTAAACTATTCAAGATTCAACCAGATTACTATAAAAAATAGATATCATCTACTTTTGATTT